AGCCCTCGGGACGCGCTGGCCCTGCAGAGTGTCCCCCGACAGACCCCTGCGACCGGCCCGGCCCTTCTCTGGGCACCGGCACCTCTGGCTGAGGCGTCACCTGTGGTCGCAGCAGCAGCCCTGGCTGTTAACACGTGCCCACAACTGATGCACCGAGTCCCAGTTACATCTACAGATGGCCAGAAATGTATTTAAAATATTAAAAATGCTATTTAAAAAAAGCCTGCATTCCCCCAAATAATTAAATACACTCCCTAAAGCACCTAGTAGTAACAACAGCCATTCCCAGGCAGCTTTATTTTACGCCCTGCTTCCCCCAGCACTCCAAAACATAACCAAAAAGCCACAATAAAGGCTTCTCCAGCCACATTTGCTGTAACAAATGCTCTGTACACTCACTGCTGCCATGGAGCAGCTGCAGAAGATAAAAAAAAGGTCGTGAAAAGCGACAGGCCTCTAACCACCAACGGCAGCGGTAAGAATGAGGTTGGTGCGCACAGGGAAGCGCTCAATAAACATCACTAGATAAGATCACAGGTGAGAAGCCAGGGTTACCCCGAGCTCCCCGACTGCCAGAACTGATTACTTGGCCACAAGCCCTTGGCTGTATTTTTTTCCCAATAGTTTCAAAGGGGATGCAGAAGGCCGGGCACTCGGCAGCTTCACCTCTCAGCCTGCCCAAGCCCAGGCCTGTCGATGCTCGTTCAAACCACTGTGATGAGAGCTTGAACCGGCTCTGCTAACGAGGCTCTGAAGATGCATTTTTGCTTGGAGGTCAAGTGCTAATCAATATGCAACCCATGTCTTTCCTGCTCTGAGGACTCATGCCAACGTGATTTCAACGAGGGCTGCAACCAGAAGAGTCACCCTGAGGCCGTGCTGTTCCTGCGAGGAAGCGCTTGCCGCAAGAGTTTATAGTTCCACCTACCAGCTCTAAGCAGGCGTCTCTGCATCCAGCACAACCCGCTGGCCCCATGGGCATGTGCTGACTGCCGAGGAGCGTCTCCTCACCCCGCGTTTCACCTGACAGCTTGCAGCATCCCAAACACGGCGCTGCCGGCCCGCGCTCCCAACCCCGAGCGCCGCCCGCGCTCCCGTTCCCGGCAGCGGTTGTCGCTCAGCGCCGTGGCGGGTCCCTCGTGGGGACGCAGCAGGGTCTCCTCTGTGCTGCTGCAGGAGCTCCCCTATGAGAGGAAGCTGCTGAGTGCTCCCCGGTGAGGGGCTGCTATTCCTCTCACCCCGTCCCCTCCACCTCGTGTTCGCTCTGTGCTGGCGCATCCCAGAAGTGCTGACGGTGCCCAAATGCCAACACCACCACGGTCACAGTAACGGCACCGCATACATCACTGCAATGGCCCGCGGACACCCGCGAGCCAGAGGAAAGACGTGATTTACAGCAGCCGCCTGTGCTGCAAAGGAGCAACGTCACCCGCCACTTCACCCTGCGACACACAGCTCACCTGCTTCGTGATGGTGCCGGGGGCTAAAGGCTCCAAGGAAGAGCTCTGAGCAAGGAGTCCCTGGGAGGCAAAGCAGGTTGCACATCGTGCACGACTTACAGTGAAAATCCCTGCTGGGGGCTCATTACCCCATCACCGACACGGCTCTGTGCTCTCTCCAGCTATGGATCCCACGCAGCTTTCTATAAGTACAAGACCAGCACTAGCAGGAGCCTCCCACTGTTTTACATCTACGACTCCTACTCGACACTAGCTGAATCGTGGGCCAACCTGTTCATGCCATCGAGCTCCCACTCTCTGCGCAACACCGCGTACGACACCGTGGTCATCACGCTGCTGCGGAGGAGGGACACCAGCACGACATCCTCTCGGCAGGCTACGACAGCAGGTACACCTACTTCACCTCCAACGGCTTCTCCTTTGCCTCATCCCACCAGAACTGCAAAGCAATCAAAACTTTCTGCGGCTCCAACAACCTGATGTTCATCCCCAGTGTTGGCCCAGGCTACATGGACATGAGCATCCACCCCTGGAACAACCACAATACTTGGAACAGTCAAGTACTGTGAAACAGCTCTGCAGGCTGCTCTCATGGTCAGGCCAGAGATTGTTTCAATCACTTCTTTCAATGAGTGGCACGAAGGCACCCAGATCGAGATGCCCAAGAAGACCCCGACGCAGCTTTATCCTGACTACCTTCCCCAACGTGTACTTGGAGCTGACTCACAGGTGGGCAGAGCACTTGAGCAAAGAGAAGGAGCAGGGGCTGGTGTCACTGCAGTATTTCCCTTAAAGGCACCCAGATCGAGATGCCCAAGAAGACCCCGACGTGGCTTTATCCTGACTACCTTCCCCAACGTGTACTTGGAGCTGACTCACAGGTGGGCAGAGCACTTGAGCAAAGAGAAGGAGCAGGGGCTGGTGTCACTGCAGCGTTTCCCTTACGGAGCAGCTGCCGCGGAGGGGAGCGCCAAGGGACAAAGCAGCCGTGGAGGAGCAGCCACAGGAGCGAAGGCCGCGCTCGGCAAACAGCATCTCCGCACGTGCTCCGAGGAATGCGCGAGCTCCAGCTGGGAAATCCCGCGAGGAAACGTTACGAGGAGCAGAGGAGCCCTCTCTAGCAGGGGTCCAGCCCTGCTCTCCCGCAGAGCGGGCACAGACAGCCCTTTCCCAGCTCTCCTGGGATCTCCACAGGGCTGCTGGCTCACGGAGACCCGCTCCGTTCTTCTTACAGTGCTCTACGGTGTCCTACAACTTACCTGGGCTCCCCTGTGTATTTCACCCGGTGCCCTTGGGCCACTGTGTGCAGTGATCACACATCCCCTCGCTCCACTGGTGGCTCAAAGCATTTCCCTATCAGGTAACGAAAAAAAGTAATAAAGGGCCCTCAAAATTGTCTCCTGTAGGTCAAACTTAGCCACACAATTATGTACCCCTTGCTTTATGTCACGCCAAGGAGTTCTGCTCTGGGTGTTGTTCCTGCCACCCGCTGTATCCAAATAATTAAAGATAACTGGAGTTGGAATGCAGACCATTTAATCTACTGTGCATGCTGGAAGCTGAGGAAATGTAATGACCCACTCCAGAAGCTCATATTGGATTGTTTAGCATTCTGTGTTTTGAAAATTAACATCTGAAGTTGTTTTATCTTCTTAGTAACCAGGAAATACACTTGCAATAAAATTACATTGAAAATATCATTAATCTGTACTTCGAAAGAAGGTCAGCACCCAGGAGCCTTCCATTTTTGTGGTGTTAAACATGCATAGGCCCTTCCAAATTAGGCATTAAAATTATTACTTGTCTGTATCAATAAAATGAGAAGGGCAGCAATGCATGCGAGAATGCTCTATTCACATATGTCTGTGGTGTTTCATATGTGATAGAAAACATCCAAAAAAAAGTATTGAGAGCAAAATCCTGCAAGCTGCTTACCAGTTTTAAAACCATCAACAGCACCACAAGCTTGACTTTTCCTTGAATAATAAATACCAGAGGAAACAATCCACCCCATTCCTCAGCCTTCAGCCTCGCACTGTTCCCAAAGCAAGATCAAGAGAGGAAAGTCCACATCAGAAACTGAAGATTAAATTAAAAGCTTGGCTTCATTCTTCCATCAGAAAGAAGTTAGGTCTTCCAACAGATCTAAGCAGCTCATATCTAGATTGGGAACTGAATGCCTTATTTGTTAAGGCATGTACAGTTTCACCTTAATAGCAGGTTTGATTGTATTCACAACAGGGAATAATAATTTGGAAATAGCACAACACCACAAAGAGGTCAGCAAAAATACAGGGTTGGTTCCTCAGCCTACAGCAGGTAGGACACTGAGAGGTACCGGTAACTGTTGCTCTCGTCATCCCGTGACCACCACTGTGCCAGCAGCCCGACACAATCCATGAACCTCATTAAACAAGGTAATTAGCGCTCCCCTCCTGAGCGCACGGGCGGGCACACAGTGCCCAGCACTACCAGCTCCGCGGAGCTTCCTCGGGCCGAAGGCTCAAGACGATTCTGGTACCAGGCCATACTTCTGCCTCAGGATTTCCACTGTAGATGCCAGTGCACTGCGGGGAAAAAAAAAACATATTTAGCTGCATTTGCTGGGAAACAACACTCAGCTAAGGCTGCAAATTGCATTTTGAATTTGGGAGAACAGGAACTACAAGAATTAGGGTGTTTCGTATCGATACTGCTAGTTGGGGTCTCCTGGGCTCAGCTTTTGGACTATTTCTTTTCAGGGTTTCTGAGTATACTAGTAATTAAACTAAAAAGCATCAACATGAAGATTAACTAACACAGGGAAATCAGCAAAATAAACTAAAAAGCATCAACATGAAGATTATGGGCAAATCACGGGCAATCATCATGGGCAAATCAGCAAAACAAGACCCACCCTAACCTTAAAGCTTGGATTTTATTTACAATAAAGAAAAAGCTACAGTTCTATTTAGCAAAGAGCACTCACCAGCCAGGGCGAATGATGCCAAATCTCCCTGACACCGATAAATCGACCACAGTTGACCCCAGGCGACATTCTGGGCTCTGAGTGTCCCCTATGGGGCCCCCATCAATGACTAAGGACAACTGAGGCCAAAGGTCTTGGAATTCCTGGAAAAGACAGAGGTAATTAACAATCCACAAGACAGTTTGTAGTACATTTACTAGATAATATCGGGCATTCTAGCACCAAGGGAGGCAGTCTCAGCTTTTGCCATCCCAAACCCATCCCCAGTTTGGCATCTGAGAACAGATTTATCTTACAGGCAAAAGAAAGTTCCAAAGGGATCCCAGGCTCTGGGGTTCTTAGCTGCATCAATGTTTATTAAAGCATCTGACAGAGCGCACACAAGAAAGTTAAAGCTCTTATCAAGATACAGGGGATGAGAACGAGGTGTCCCTTTGGTACTATGCCCAAATAAATACCACCACCATCAAACCAAAATTAATTCTCAGCTGGGTGTGAAGCTTTTAAATATTTCTTTCAAGCTCTGCCCTTGGTTTTTAAAACAAGGATGACAGCAAGACAGATACTGCACACCACAGATCTGCAGGCTCGTTTAACTACAGGCCAGAAACTTCTAAACGAAAACAGCAGCGCCAAAGAAATCCTCGCTCTATTAATAAAAGCTGTCTGACAATGGGAAAATCTGAGAGTTGATGGCACTAATCTTTGCAGGGTGGAAAAGCATCCTTACCGAGACGGTCAGGCTGCTCGCCTGGGAGCTGAGGTTGGCGCTCGTCAGAGCCAGGGGCCCCGAACAAGCCCGCGCCAGCTCCCGAATGAAGGGGTGGTTTGGAACTCGAACACCAACCAGCTACGAGGAAGAAAAGAGCAGGTTTGCACGGCGTGACTAGAGACTGCGTCTTAATCTTGCATTGCTGAAGACCCTCTTAGCTTCAAGGTGATGCTAAAGCACTAAGCAATCACACACTCATGCTCTCAGGAATTAGCATCTAAGGTGCTCAGACGGGTCACAAGGAGCACAGCAGCACAGGACCCAGCTTCCAGGAAGCGTTAATCACAGCTACACACACAAAACACACGTAAGAATAGCAGCAACTGCAGCAGGAGCGCAAAAACCAACGTGCCGCAAGGCAAATGCACCCAGGTACCTTCCCCGAGGAAGACCTACCGAGGTGAAGGGATTCAGGTCTTGTCACAAGGAGCACAGCAGCACAGGACCCAGCTTCCAGGAAGCATTAATCACAGCTACACACACAAAAAACATGTAAGAATAGCAGCAACTGCAGCAGGAGTGCAAAAACCAACGTGCCGCAAGGCAAAAGCACCCAGGTACCTTCCCCGAAGAAGACCTACTGAGGTGAAGGGATTCAGGTCTCTGTTGAGCTCGTCTGAACGCTGCAGCACCACGGTCACGGGCCCCGGGAGCAGGTCCCGCAGCAGCTCGTCCGGCACGTTCACGTGGCAGTACCTGAGGGCAGAGCACAGGGCGGCTCCTGCACAAACCCTGCG